GCTGCCGTATACGGACTAGACGGTTCGGTCATTTGCCGTTCCGACTAGTATTGAATAGCCGGCTCGGCCTCTTGCCGAAGGGTTAAACAAGTCATAACGGTAATCACAATTAAGAAAGGTAAGTACATGATTAAAGCCTAACGACCAATTAGTACCGTATTACCTAATTTGGTAAATATCTGAGAGGGCCCATCACGCTCAGGCCCATGTCAGATGCTATAAATAGGTCACACATAACAAGGTATGTCACTGTTCATTTATTACCCTAGAATATCGTACTTATCCTGACTTGAGCGTTGGAGTGCCTTTTGCAGGTACCTCCCCCCTCCGAAGAATCCATCTGAAGCTCTCGTTCGGTCCTCATATTCTCCTGAAGATTACGAGTGTACCCTCAGGCAGGTACAAGTATCATGTGCGACAATATAATTGTATGAAAACTGAAATATAGTTTATCCAGTGGCACGCTAAGGGAGAAAAATGCTAATCTATTAGTGAGTTTTGTATATCATCTTTATAACAAAAAGTTTAATGCTACTGCCCTATGGTACTACCTACCTCAGCAGGGCAGAATCTTGTGGAATTTGAGTAACCACTGATTCTGAAATGCCATAACTTTCCTTTAGAATACAACAAATTCTCATCACACAGGAACTCCCGAGAAAACCATTTCTCTATCATACGATCTACATCATGTACTACTACATCTGAAATATTCCCAGCTCTAGCCAGTACACTAGCAGTGTAAATGGACCCCATCCTGCCTGGTGAATCTGGTGAATCACCACTGGGTCCATCTACCACCATGACATCCCAATTCTTCTCATACACTTGTGACGGCAAATTTTTCATTGCAAGCTTGCATTTTGATTTTTGAAGGAATCTAGGATTTGGTACACATGCAGCTGGGTTCTGCCTTGCATGCTTGAGCAATTTGAAAGCTGCTTTTGCTGGCATGTTATACTCAAGTTTGTATATTTGAGTGTTGTTGGAGTTTATAACATTGTTTATTTTATCAGGGCCATCATCCAGAAAGATTGTGCTACCAGCTGCATTCATAGAAGAGAGGATAAGGTACTGGGGTTGAATCCCAAATATGAGGAGGTTGCATGGAGATTTAAGAGCAATGAGATCTGAAAGAACTTTGAATTCTTTCTCAGTCAGGGTGGTGGTGTTGTTGGGAGGTTTTCTAGGCTTCTCTGAGGATCCAGGTGCATGTGATGCAATTTTGTTGCAAGTGAACAAAGATGGAGAACAACTGTGTTGAGGAGATGGAGACAAAACAGATATCCCAGTGGAAAAAGGTGAGGTCTTGACATTGAGGCTCAAAAGTCTGAGGATTGATATGGTTGAAAGGATCAAAACAAGGATAGGGATGAGTTTCTTTTTGGTGAGGCTCATCCCCTTCATTCCTTGCCAATAGTTGTGAACACAAGGTTGATGAGTTGTAAGTGAAGGAGAAAATTGAACTAGAGGTGATAGGAGAGGACGAAAATGAAGTACATCTGGGGGCATCTTGTGTTTTTTTTTAATGCTCCTTTACTCTCTCCTTTGAGCAAACTGCTGTAACATTACATCCTTCTCATAGTGCTGTGACCTTTTGATGATAATAGTTGTTCTTATGTGGCCCTTTGCATCTTGTTGAGTAGGGGGGAAGGGATGCCTTTGCTTCTGTTACAAGTGTCACCTTTCTTTTCATCTAGCTACCTAATTGTTGCTGTTGCAGGGTGAGCTTGAGAAATTTAGCTACATGTGTCTCAATTATAAAGATATTTTTCTTTGAATCTTTTGTCTAGGTGCTGACATGCGTCCTTAAGTTTGGTTTGCCGTCAAATTTCCTTTTTGGATGCTTGTTTGGTGGTCTTGAGTAAGCTTTAAGATGGCTAGCGAGTTGTTGGTGAGTCTCTTTTAAATTTCAGTCCATATGACTCGAGAACTTTTATCCTTTCATACATTATGATTTGAGATTTGTGATGGTGGGCAATGATTGATTATTATTTTACATTTCCCCTTTCTGATGTTGATTTAAACTCAATGCTTAACTAGCCGATATCTTATGGAGAAGGTGGAAGGAAAAAGAAAGAATAATATTGATTTTATTGAGTTCCAAGCATAAACTTTCATTCCATAAACAGCATGTTATGTGTAGGAATAGTCAAATACTTAATACGATCACTTTATGCAACAAGTAGCTCAAGTCTGTGTTGTTATCAATCCACGATGTGAGAAATCATGTTAATTCTCAAATTGAAGATGGTACACAGGAATAAATAACAGCTTGGAGAAAACAAAGAAAAGGGCAAATTTAAAATTTCTAAAGAAATGATCGCAAAAAATCTCTTTATAGTCCTTTCCAAGGTGAGCTTCGTGGAAAACCCCAGAGGAAAAAAAAAACACTATAGCACTAGACTGAGATAATATTTTGTATCCTCCAACCAGAATTATGGCACTTTGTAAATTCTTTTTGGGTACTAACACCAAAGTTTTAACCTGCTAACCAACGGACAGCAAACTACTTAAATTTCGTATCATTAGTTTATTAATAAGTTACGAACTCTATCTTCCAAACCTATTTTCTAAAAGAAATTAATTACCGTTAATGAACTCATAAATGATTAGTTAAAATTTATTATCGGTTTAATTACCTTTTGATTGATATAATTTCATGAAATTTATCTGTTTATCTATATAGTTAAAAATATTTTATTTTAATTTTTACATATTTTGTTTCTTTTTTCTCTATTTTAGTCCATCTTGTCTACTTCTACATGATGAAAAGAGAAATTTTATGAAACTATATTGACTAAAGAAACCAAAACGTTGTACATGTAGGACTAAAATGAAATATTTTTAATTATAAAATTAAAGAGTAAAATTCATGAAATTATAGAAATCAAAATTGTAATTAAACATTTATTATTTTCTTTTAAATTGTAACAAGATATCCTAAAATATTTTATTGATAAGTTTGCTTAAAAAAAAACTAAAAATAACATAGAATAGACATTTGAGCTAGAGCAGCCTGGAACCTCAACATTTCACGTTCATTGAATTATGCAGTATCCACTCATTTGTTTTATTTTGATGCCTGTTTGTTTGTACTATTAAATATAGAAGTTAGCATCTCTAAACGGCCTAATCCCCTTTGTCTGACTTAATATATATTAGTATGGTGTGCAAGTTTTTGTGTTTTTTAATAATTGAGATACATTGTCATTGGTCTATTCTGAAGTGAGAAAGACGGACATACCCCTAATAGTAACATATTACATTGCCGGAAAATAAATACCCCTCTTTGTGGATTGTGCGCGCAACATTTAGCGTGAGACCTGGAATATTTTAATAACTTTCCCTTCCAATTTTCAATTCAACATTATGCACCTCTAAAATGATATCACAAAATCATAACACTATTATTGGCTTTCCTTTGGGGCAGTCTCAAATGATTTCTATTTCTATTACATTATAGTCTTCTTAGCAAGTATACAAGTGGTATTACTAAATTTAGGTAAAATTTAAAAATATCTTTTTAAAATTATAACAAAAGCATGTAAATAATTAGTTTAAGATAAATAAATGTATACAATATTTACAATTATAAAAAAAATAATATACACAATTTATTTAAATGAGGAAAAAAAAAGAATTTTATAGTATCTTTTTTTAAGAGAGAGTGATCAAGAGATTATGCCACTTATAAGAAAGTGTGGTGTAAGTTATATAGAGAGAGGGTGAATTGTTTAAAAGTTTGTGAAGAATCTTATCATGAAATCTGAAATTTAATTAAGAAAAATAAGAATCGAGTTGATAAATAGGGAATTAATTAAACAAATTAAGAAAACACTAGAAAAACAAAATTGTACTTACTAATAAAATCTGTCAAATGTTAATATTACCTTTTAAATATAGTATTTGTGTAATGAAAATTAAATTTTAATATAGACTTTTAAGGTTGTATTGCTGTAAAATAAAAAGTTATATATCGTATCACATTAATGTTTAATGTGTTGTCATATATTGATATTCTATAATCTATGCCAACAAAGTTGTTTGTTAGTATAATATATCATATTATTAATATAAATGCATGGTATTTATAGTAACAGTTTAATTTTTGTCAGACAAAAACCGAATAAAGACTAATCAAGTACACGCTTTAAGAATCCTAGATATATTATGTCATTCTTACGACTCTAATTTATTATACAGGGATAGATTATTACCAAAATTTGGTGTTATTGCCAAAAACGGCACTTTTTCATATAATCTTCTTTGTATTTCTTACAAGTTAATGAGTGGTTCTTTTTTACTTCTTTAATTCATACTCCCAGCAAGTAGCATTTTTTTTACTGTTTTAATTTCATAGGAAGTATCATTTCTAGACAACTATTTAAATAGTGATAATGATTGTACTGCTGAATTGAAACTCTGGAATCTGAATTAGCTTTTTGTTGACGTTGATTTCGTTATGCATGCAGTTTTTACAACTCCACTCAGGTTTCATCTAAGGTAGGTATTGTTAACTAACAAACTTTGCCAGTAATTAAGGAAAATCAAAACAGTAACTCTGATCTAATGCTTAGCAAAAAGATTCAGTGACACAGTTTCCTTGGAATCACTCATGAGATGATGCCATGGCTCTGTTGACATTCCTTCATTAATGTCAAATGGTCATTTTCCATCCAGAATATAAAATTCCCAGAGTGACGTTACAGAACCAATTAACAAAACAGTGATGCCGTTGCCATTGGAAAGCCTCACCTAAAAACTCTCACTCTTTATCTCAATTAATAGATTAGGAATCAAAGTTAGGTTGAAATTTTAATTAAGGCCTTGTTTGAAAACCTATTCAACAATAGGTACAAAAGTATAGTTTCGGAGAATACTTTGCTAACCATGCTTATAGCAATAGAAGATGCCACCAGTTCATCATTAACTACTATCCTAGGGTGTTGCTATTGTCCTTGTCGGCTCAATCATTTTCTTTTAATTTGTTTAATATTTGATCATTAGATTCACATCTTCAACAAGAAATGTCATCTTAGTAAGTTTGTCTGGACCAGGTCCTCCTTTCACATATGCTTGTTTTCTTCATCTTTTTCCCCTCAGTCTTAATTTTGCTGGTGGAATCTTTTTGTGTCCGTTCTAATTAGTAGGATTCACTACCTTAAACAGGTTCTCAATTAGATTAATTGCCTTCATGATTCTGGCTTTTTATGGGTGTTGTTTGTCCAATTTTGCTAGGGAAA